GATCCAATCAATGCAGGCGGGCCTCGTTAGCCGAAGTCCTGGCAGCGCGCCAGCAGACGAGGCGGTACGAATCGTTGCAGTGCGGAGTGGCACGATCTGCTGCTCTGCAGGAAGATGGAGATGACGATGCACCTGAAAATCAGGACGTGGCGAGTTTCTGTTTGCGTCAGAAAGATTTAAAGCACTTCCCATGGACTGTCGAAGAGCAGATCATCACTGCATACACAGCTCTCGCTGGTTGCGAAGCGTGACATGTCGCCTCATTTACTCCGAATGTTGACTTTGTCTTTGTTGTTGTTGGTGGTGGTTGGTGTTTCTGGTGGGGTGAAAAACTATGCGCAGGGTGTTCGGTCCATTTCAGCATCTCGGTTCGTTTTGCCTCGGATCTTCCAGGCTTTCTGGGTCAGTCTCTGGTGTCCAATCTTGTTGGACATCGTAGGAATTCTTGGGAAGGGTGTTAGGACGCTAGGACTTTCGAACTCGCGGGTTGTGTCGGGTGTGCCCACCGTTCAGGCCTTTGAGTGTGCGTCTCTGTCCATCTGTCCGCCCGTGCGTCTGTCTCCCGCTCCTTGTCTAGGTGGAAACCAATGTACGTGTGGCACGGAGCAGTCAATGTGGAATGCCATCGACAGAAAAAGCTGTTTGGATCAGAGCTTCCCGGTCTGCACCTAGGCGATGAGCATGCTCGCAACATGTCGATTGCATTGCGCAGCAACATGTGTAACATGGATGGTGTTCACAAACTCACAACATGTCGGTTGCATTGCATTGCTCATTGGAAGAACTCACTCAGACTGTCTGGCCTCTGTGTTTCTGCAAAGCAACCTCGAAGCGAGTGCTAGAGCTGCGAGAAGCAGCCCTGGCAGCCCTGAGGAAGTTTAGCCGTTGATGATAGATGATCTACGGGCACGAATCGACCCGTGATGATGTGGGGCCAGCAACCACGTGATAGACACATGCGACATGAGCACACCACCCAGAACGCAGAGATCGAAGACCCGCTAAGAGAGAATACACTCGCCTCCTGATCGCTCTCCCCAACATCAAGAACCCCCCCGACAGCCTCCCGAAGTCAATGCAGAGTCACACCCGCCTTGCAGAAGCTCAGTAGCTCGAGCTCCGGCGAGCGACACCCCCGAGCAACCAGCCTCGTCGGGCTCTGATTGAAGTCCAGCAACGTCCAAAACGGGAGCCGAAGAAGTTTCGTGACTTACCGCCTTATCTCACCGGCCCTTCTGAGGAACTCTATGAAAGCCAAGGCCTATTATCCACAAATCTTAACATAGTCTCGGAAACCCGAGATCAAGGATACAGGGAGCACAAAACTAGACGAGCCCTTAAAGATCGTGTTTTGCCATGTATGCAACCTTTCGCAGAGTCGAAGTTGCCAGCAGTGCCTCGCAATCCCCAGTCATTCAACCCCACCCAACCCCACCCACCAAACTACAGGACAGATGCTTCGATTGCATGTTCCCAGGATTGACACAACACCGCCATGCACGAGTCACAATTCTTCTCCCTGCCGAATGCTTGGAGAGATGTACCGGAGGTGTGTGTATGGTAGCCCCGGAAGAGGACACGTATGCGAAAGGCTTTCAACTTCGTCTTGGCCACACAGCAGTCGGAGTAGTAGGCGATCTTTGGTGTTTTCTGCTTCAAGCTGCAGCTGCTTTGCCTTTGCAGCGAGCAAGCCTGCTTGAATCGACTTGGCGGTTTGACCAAACAATACGGGTGTCGCATCAAACCTGGTACTGTACTGGTAGCTGATGTTGAAGCAGGAGCCCTCCTCCACTGGAAAAACGCGCCGCAGGGGCGGCCGAAATAACCGAAAGAGAGGCCGCAAGCATCGAGTTTGATATACGACTCCGCGGTGCTGCTCTGCCGGAAAAGGGGAAAGTATTCGCAAGTGCAGACCTGCCGTAAGAGAGGTGCTCGGCGGGATTCCGACCCGCCGCCACAGCCACAGCAGCAAGGTCAGCCAATGCAGCCGCAGCAACTTCGATTGCAACATTGCAGCCGCATTGTGCTCGTGTTTTTCGAGGGAGGGTCATGGAGGGCCGTCCTTGAACCCAGAGCCAAGGCAAGCGACTCAAGTGCCTCAGGGCCCGCCAAAGGGTGCGAAAGGCTCTGCCAAGGCAGATGGGATCCTTTACTTACACCGTTTGAACTTCTGCATCCGATTGGCATGTCTGTTATTTTATTGTCAAACCTTGTTTCGATGGCAGGCCAAATCTCAGCCGAAGGGGCGATCGACAGAGGCACAGCCGCTATCTTTCATAAAATGCGAAGATTCCCGATTCTGGTCAACACCGTTGCAGTATTGCTTTGCTTTGGCAGGCTGGTCAGCCTGTCTTGGCTGCAGGACCCACATGTGCACGTTGCGATAGCCTTTAGAATACTGTGCATGCAGCGCTTGCGGCTGCGGCAAGGACCCGTCGCTGTGACGGAGAGGAAGTCGGACTTTCGTCCGGAGTACCTCGGCCTTGCACACTGCAGGAGCGGCGCACCGGTGCGTTGGAGTTAAAGAAGCGCCCGGGGAAGACGAAGAGCTTTCGAAGTTTCTGCACGATTGCTTGAAGGTACACACAATCCCCCATGGCGCAGCTGCTGCTTCAGCAGCCGATGCAATGCAGGGGCAGCCCACCCGCTCCTTTGTCTCTGATCGAGTTCAATGGAACTTCCAGGGGTCAGGGTCAAGCACTGGACACGCCAGCGTGTACGTCCGTGCGATTACTCTCTGTGGTAGCTCAGGTCATGTTTCAGCAGCAGATTCCCTTGCAGCAGCCATATCCGCACCAGCAGTTCCTGCAGCAACAACTGCAACCAATGCCGCTTCAGCACCTCTGGCAGCAGGTTATGCTCGTGCCAGTTTGTCGGGACGCATGACAGAAGCAAACCCTATGCTTCTCCAAAAGCCCTACGTAGTCTCTCCAGGCACTTTGTGCCAAGCTTTGCGCCAATGGCGCCAATGCCCATTCATTTTGGGCAGCGTGCGTGATGCACAAGGCATAACTGTCATGCATGCCCTTTGTCCGGCTTCTGTGAAAGAGAGGGAAGTTGAGAAGTTTCCGCATCCATTGACATGCGGATTTGAAGTGCAACAGGTGGGAACAGGTACAAGATTCGTGCTTCCGTTGGAGGCCGCGGATACCTGTCCCGGCTAGGAACTGCACCAGTTTCGGGAAGTCGGAAGCCCGGTGTTTTCGGCCAGCTTGGGCAAGCCTGCAGAGCTTGGATCTGGTGGTGAGGTGTTCGTTGCAATGGATCGAAGTTCCATCTCTTCCATGATGCCGATGTGGCCTCGAGCAACAGCATGCCAAATCAGGCTGAGGGGTGTAGGGAGTGCATGTATACCCAGAAGTGTTGGCGGGCGCGGGCGACGCGTTTGTGCGATGATTGGATATGTTGGGCCTAAGTTCAGTGAGATGCTGCCCTTCGATGCTGTTTGGGTCGGCGTTATATTTAGCTTTAGCACTTGGGAATCCAATTCATGGCGCTGGCTATTCGGTGCAGGAACCTTTACTGCTGACTCAGCCGCAGAGGATTCTGTGAAGAAGTCTCAGCCCAGCTAGTCACACAGTTGGACGCTGACCCCTGTTCTTGCCTGGATCCACTGACTCTGCACAGGGCAGGCCTTGCTACTTACCTTTGTTTGTCAACGGGACCCGGGTAGAGGCAAGAAGAACTCAATGCGAGATAGGCACACTCATGGCCTGCAATGTAGTGAATAGATCCTGGAGCAGGACCATGACACGTCAACATGAAAGCCATCAGCTAATGCGGCGAGCAAAACTAAACAGGGTCAGCAGTAGTGGTTGGCCATCCACCTTATCCGTTCTTCGTTGCGATGCCTGCAACATGTTCTCCCCGACAGATTCCGTGTGGCGGAAACGTGATGAAGATCCAGCTCTGGAAAGGCCGTACCCGCAAACGATGCTCGCTTGCACAAAGCCTGAATTCGAGCTCGTGCCATTTAAGGATCTTGGGTGTTCTGCAAAGCCAAGGCCAGCCAAACTGATGCGGTCAATGACAGCTCGGCTCTTGTAGTGTGGGCAGTGTGAGTCCGCGTGGATGCCGGTTCGAAAAGCTGAAGATTGCCGACCGAGAAGAGATGTCTGCCCACACGTCAACTGACGGGTCTGGAGTTGTACTTATCTGTCATTTATGGTGAGTGCTGCTTTGACAATATCGCTCTTTGAGAGAACTACTTGTACAACTCTGGAAGAGCTGTCGACTGCCTGGTATTGGGGGCTTCACCATGAGCTGATCTACGCGCCACACGACTATCGACCCTTATAGCAAAGTGGACTCATGGTTGGTAGCGCTTCGTGCTTGCAAGCAATCATCGCATGCTAACTGAAGGGTTCCAACGTGTTACCACGACTCTTTGCTTGGGGTCGTGCCGCACGAGTCGTTCCTGTGAGTCCAGTGGGTTAAGTGTGGGCCGCACAGCTGCCTACGGGTCAACTGTAAACATAAGATTGCACAACTTTACCCACCAGACTCAGCAGCAGACAAATCCAATCTTGACAGGGAATCGCACTTGATCTCTCGGGCCACTGCGCTTTTCCTGTCATCCAGCGACGAAGCAGAATCACACCCACTTGGTTAAATAGATATAAATAGGATTTCGACGAGCCCCTGCCTCGGTGCCACTGCATCAGCACCGATGCAAGTGGCAGCCCACTTTCCCATGGCCCCTACCGACACCATGTGAAGTCCTTCCTCCGCTAGCCGCTGCAGATGCTTTCTGTCTCCAGAGGCTCATGCAGCAGTTGAGCTTTTCTAAAGCTTTTTCGAAGGCTCCTCTTGCTCCAGGAATCGAGCTGGCCAATGGCCAAACTGTACAGCAGTGTCCGTGAACACTGACGCCTGACGCTTTCCTTACCTGAGAAGAGCTTCCTGCAAAAGTCCCTGCCGCTCTACTGCTGACATGGTGCATCCATATCTTGAGCAAGTGCCACACTGGAAACTACTGCTCCTTCGAGTTGTGCCGCCAGGCTAAGGAGATCCGAGCCCTCTTTGAGTGGGTGGATCCTGCACAGGCACGCTTGAAGCTTCGACTCCTCACCCCCAAGCGCCGCCAGCGCCGCGCTGCAGGGTGAGACGCGAGCCCTTCTGCGTGAGAAGCACGGAGAGGCCCTTTGTTTGAAGCTGCCAGCTGGGACTTCTACACACACACACACAGACTGCTCAGGGCCAGGAGGCCGAACTTGCCGCCGCAGCAGCCGAGGAGAGCTGGGCAAAAACATGATGGGCTCGGTGGGCTCAGAAAGTACAGGAATCCCAAATATATGCTCGTAGCCGCATGAGGTATGCACAAGTACCGAGTAGGTACAGGAATGTACGGGCACAAGTTGTGGCAACTCTGTGGGGGGAAGTCTGCCAAAACAACGGCCACACGGACAGAGACGTCTCGTCGTGAAGTCGTTCGTGATACGTGAACATTGTGAAGCGCTAGGACAAGTTCGAGTAACGCAGCATCTGTTGGTCCGAATGGACGAGCCGCGAGCCCCAACAGTGCAACTTCGGAGGATGGCTCCCGCGCTTGGATGCAGACGCCTGCCCTCGACCTTAGTGGCTTGTCGGTTAAACTGGACGCTCAAGTCCACACCTTTCGCCAGTTTGAGCGGCCTTATCTTTGCAGGTGATTTCGCCTGTTTGTACGGATCGGCCCAAGAGGAGGAAGTGCAGGATGAGGGCTTTTCAGCTCAGGCTTGTGGCCGCACTGTCCACATAACACAGCTGCACAACAGCCCCGGTGGAGGTTGCAGAGGCCAAGCAAAAGCTAGAAGCTGCTGATGCTCTTTGCTCGGATGCATGTCGAGCCGGTGTGTCGTCTCCCTGTCAGCCAATACGCAAATCGCGCCAACTCCAGGAAAAGCTCAGCGAAAAGAAGCGACTCCGACAAGAAGCGGAGGCACAGCAAAATGTCATCTGAATCATGTTTCCCATCCGCATTGCATGATTGCGCACAGGCGGAAGTCGCACGGCTTGCTACAGAGCTCGAAGAGGTCTCTGCTGCGGTGGACGATGCAAAGGCATCAGATGTTGTCGTGATTTCACAGCGTTGCGACTCCGTATTGAAACTTCAGGGCTGTAGCGGGGACCGTGTTTTTACACGTTTCGCATAGAGCCGCATTTCCGCGGCAAAGACCCTTATGGGCATGGCTTGATGATTTGTAGCTGCTTAGGAGGGAGAGTGGCAGGTGAGCGCGCAGTCTGCAGGAAACAGCCTCGAAGGGACGGGAGTGGCTTGGGGTTGAAATCCCGGTGCCCGTTGTTTCCGGATCTTGATCAGTGCTCCGTCATATCACGACGACGCCAAGACGACGACTAATACGAATAATACTACTAATGCTGCTACTTGAGCTTCCGCCGCGGCTACTGCCTCTGGTGGTGGTGGTGCAGCTGCTGGTGCTACCACTACTTCCACTACCACGACCACTACGCCTACCACTACCACTACGGCTGCTGCTGCTGCTGCTGCTACCCCCACTATTACTACTACTACTACTAC